ATCAGCTCTCTAGAAACACAAATATAAACTGCTAACTAAAAACTTATAACAAAATTTTTGTTCTAAGATTAAAGGCAATACAAAAATAACTGGAGGGTATTTTTGTTCAAAGATTTAATGCAAGCCAGAAATAAATACCCACAGGGTATTAGGAAAGGGTAGTAATTGAAAGCACACCAGGCTCTGGATTCAGACAAGCTAGGTTTGCATGGTGGCTGTGCCTCTCCAAGCTGTGTGACCAGTCTTGCAGATTTATTTGACCTCTTTATCTTCTGTAAAATGGGGACAACAAAAGTTACCTTCTATAGTGGAGTGCTGTGGAGATAAAAATGAGAGGATGCAATAAAAGTGCCATGCCTGGTCCATAGTAAGTAATCAATAAATTTTGGTTATTATTATTTTTTTTAAATTTTTATTTATTTATTTATTTATGATAGTCACAGAGAGAGAGAGAGAGAGAGAGAGAGAGAGAGGCAGAGACACAGGCAGAGGGAGAAACAGGCTCCATGCACTGGGAGCCCGACGTGGGATTCGATCCCGGGTCTCCAGGATCGCGCCCTGGGTCAAAGGCAGGCGCCAAACCGCTGCGCCACCCAGGGATCCCAAATTTTGGTTATTATTATTTTCAAGTGTCATGTAGAAAGATACTTATTTTTTACTACTAGGATAAAATGGAAACATTTCTAAAAGGATTGAAAAAATCTGAATTCCCTACCATTACATGGATCTTAATATATTTTCTTCGTATGCCTTATTTATTTTCTCAGGGAACCTCAAACGCCCCCCCCCCATTTTTTTTTTTTTTTTACAACTACAACCATTTGTAAAAGCAATATCACAGTTACTAAGAAAAAAGAGACGATGATTAAAAGTAAGTTCTTATGAGTGAATAGTGTAGAAAAAAATGTTGATAGCTTTTGTTAGGACAACTGGAACCTGTTCCTTCCCACCTATTAATTACTTGAAATTACGGGCAGTCCGGTGGCTCAGTGGTTTGTCGCCGCCTTCAGCTCAGGGCGTGGTCCTGGAGACCAGGGATGGGGTCCCTTGTCAGGCTCCCTCTACCTGTGTCTCTGCCTCTCTGTATCTCTCATGAATAAATAAATAAAATCTTAAAAAAAAATTACATTTATAGTACTGTAGGTTAAGTTGTCACTCGCCCCCTCACAGACAGTAAGATAGCTTTAATAAACCTAAACTTCAAAAAGATTAAGTATATAATGAGCTAGAAGCTTTTAAATGTCCCCAGTTACATTTTAATTGGTTCAACCCCTCTGCCAAACAAATAGGCACATTGGTATTCAACAAAAGACATAAAACTGTAAGTACCTTTGGACCCAGGAATAATCGAAAAAAAGGTTAGGAATGACAATTAATTGGACTGTTTTTGTTTCTTTCATTTTTTGATAACAGCATTATTGATATATAATTGACACTACATTCAGTCCAATTAAGTGCACAATCCAATGGTTTTTAGTACATTTAGAGTTGTGCAACCATCATCACAATCAATTTTAGAACATTGTCCTCAAAAAGAAAATCAACATCCTTTGGCTATCATCCCCCAATTTCATCTCTACACCCAGGGCTTAGCAACCACTAATCCTTTCTTATCTTTATAGATTTGCCTATTCTGGACATTTCATATAAATGGAGTCATTAATTGAAAGAAACCAGTCACAAAAGACTATGTTTTCAAGGATCATCCATGTTATACCATTTACCAGTACCTCCTTTTTATGGCCAAATATTCCGGTTTAGATATATCATATTTATGTGTTCATAAGCTGGTGGACATTTGTGTTGTTTCACCTTTTGTCTAGTATGAATAATGCTGTTATGATCATTCACGGATACGTTTTTTTGATTTTTAAAATTTTTGTTTTTTAGGTAACCTCTACACACAACATGGAGCTTAAACACAACCCTGAGATCAAGAGCTGTGTGCTTTATCAATTGAGCCAGCCAGGTGCCCAACACGGACAATTTTTTGCTTGGACATACTCTCATTTTCCTTGGCTACGTACCCAGAAGTAGAATTTATATGATTCTAAATGATCAAAAATCATGGTCCAACAATGTAATTATACTGTATTCCCAGAGATATTATGTAAAAATGCTATCCTCTTAAAAGTATTCTGCAGAAAAATGTTGGCCATGCAGAAGGAAAAATACATAATAATATGGAAAAAGACTACATGAAGTGAAAAGAGGACAAAACCCACTTAAAATCTTTCCTGGGCTTCCCATTCCCTGCTCTGTCCTATGGACCTAGGGACCTCAGTTCTCTCCCTGTCAGTTCTCAGGACCAGCTATGTTGTATACTACCTATCAGAGATTTTTACATCTCAGCTTCAGGACTTTTGTTCATGTTGTTTCCTCTGCCTGTATCACTTTTCCCCACTTCTTTGCCCAATGGTTTCAAGTCTCATCTTAAATGTCACTTCCTCAGAGAAACCTTCTCTGTTATCCCTGATTAGTCTAAGGTTAAGTGTTTCCACGGCAGTCTGCAATTTTCCATCTTAAATACTTTTGATACTGGTAATACTTTCTTCAGTCAGTAATCAAATACTGAGAGGTATTACATGCAGGGATACAGAGTGAAACAAAACACACACGATCTGCCATCCTAGACCTCGTATTCTAGGAAGGGTATCCATGCACATATATACAAATCAATGTACTGGGTAACTTTATTTCATTTTATTCCAGTGTAGTTAAAATGCAGTGTTATAGTAGTTTTTGGTGTGCAGTACAGTGATTCAACAGTTCCATACATTATTCAGTGTTCATCAGTTAAGTGTAATATTAATCTTTTTCACTTATTTCACCCATCCCCCCCCACCTATCTGATAACCATATATTCCCTATAGTTGAGTTTGCTTTTTTTTTTTTTTTTAAATTTCCCTTCGTTGGCTATTTTCTGTCTTCCACAATGCGTGATATTGATGGGGGAACACAGGGCTAGTTGAGGACAAGGCACGAGCTTAGGGCAGCACACTGACTAGTCTTTGAAAGAGGCAAAGGGACATTCCTCTACGGACTCAACTGCCTCGATGTTCATACTTTGCTAAGGGCAAAAGGCAATCTTAGCCTGACTCTCAGGAACCTGTAAGTCTACTTTAACACATAAAAATTCCTTTAGAAATTTCCCTTTATCTCTAAACCCCCAAGATACGTGTTGACAATCATCCCCCAAGCACATGGCCCACCGATACACATCTGAAGGGTCTCATGGCTCAGGTTTTATTAGACGGTAATAAGTGACCTTTCTCCAACAATAGCTGGCCCCCTCAAGGCCCTGGAAACCTTGCTTCCAGAATTCCTTAGAGAGTAAGCTATCCCCAAGCCCCTCCCGCTCCCAGGTATCAGCCACCCTTCACAGGCCCGGGGCAGCAGCTCTTCCTGCCTGGGAGACCTGTCCCGGTGCTTTAGTAAGACCACCATTTTGCGCCAAAGACGTCTCAAGAATTCTTTCTTGGTCGTCGCCTCTGGACTCTACCTGTAATTCCAAAACTTCATCAGTATCATTTATTTTTCTTTCTCTGATAGGCTTATTTCACTTAGCATTATACTATCTAGATCCATCCTTGTTGTCACAAATGGCAAGATTTCATTCCTTTAATGGCTGAACAATATTCCATTGTATATATGTATACATACACATACACACACGTATGTATACATACCACATCTTTAGTCATTCATCTATCAATTGATACTGGGGTGCTTCCATAGTTTGCTGTAAATCATGCTGCAATAAATATGGGTGTATATATATCCCTTCAAATTAGTGTCTGGGTAAATGCGTATTCTTTGGGTAAATACGTCCGGTAATTTTAGGTAGTGGTAATTAGCTTAATTAATGTTTGGATTGTACACTCCATGAAAGTATAAGGTATTTGTCTTGGTTACTTCCAGTTTGCTAGAGCTTACCGCTGAGTCTGGCCAGCTAAATAAGCTCAATACAAATTTTTTCAGTGACTGGTAAAATAAGCATATAAAAAACAGAAATAGAAAACACAAAGGAGACTATTCCTGTAAATGGTTGAGTTTGAGGTTTTTTTCTCCCCTTTCCTCTTTCAAAACTTTCTGTAATTCTACATACTATTTCTATAATTAAAACAATTAAAAGATGAGCCAAAAATTACCATAGGTGAGTAAAAGAACCTCATATAAAACACATTTATACGTCACCATACACTCGTTAAAGACCTGGTAATAAAACCTACTCAAATACTCAGACGTCTTGGTTTAGTGAATAGAATTCCCTCAGCGCATGACCAAGCAGGTTCCCCGCCACCAGTAGTATCATTTACCGTTTTATAAGGGCTTCAACACCCAAGACGGTGCTTAAGGATGGATGACCGTCTTCCTCCACCCATTACGCGTGCTACCACCACCCCCCATCTATTTATACGTAATAATTTTTTGCGAGGTCAACAAAGAATGCAAGATCTTTACACAACAGAACACCAGCCCCTTCCCAATGGATCTTTCTTACAAGTCCTAAAGACGCTTTAGGTGGGATAAAAGCAGGGAGCTTTGCGGCGGGCCAGGAGAGCATCCAGACGGAACCCCCACCCCAAGCGAAACCCTCCGCCGCTCCTTTCTTCCTCGGGGCGCATGCGCAGCGCACTCGCCGGCCCCCGCACGCCTCGGCCAGCTGGCGGCGGCTCTTACGTCACCGGGAGCTGATTGTGTGCCCTTCCGCTTCCCGAGGAAAACGAGTCCGCGCACCTTCGACCCTCCTTATCCCGCGGGAAATGTCTTCCCTTCTTCTACCCCAGTACTGAAGCCTCCCCCCGCCTGTCTCCAACAGCCTAGCTTCCTGCCGGACTCCTCTGTACGTTCGCCGGGCGGTGAAGGCCACGAAAACGAAGACGGGGAGGGCCAAACCCCAGTTCAGCGTTGTTTACAGGGAGTAAGCAAGTCTACGAATCGGTCCGCGAGGGCGGAGCCGAGGAGGCCGGACCTTCTCCCCCCCCCCCCCCCGCCTTCCCCGCGAGCGGACGCGGCAGCGTCTCTGTCTCGCTTTTTCTTATTTTCCCCCCTTTCCCCCTTTTTTTTCCTTTTCCCCCCCTTCCCCCCCTTTTCACCATTTCCCCTCAGAGACGCTTCTCCCGGGCAGGGGCAGAGCCGGCCTCACCCCCCGCCTCTCCCCGGCCCCCGCCGCCCTATGGCGAGAGGGAACCCCCCTCCCCACCCGGGCATTAGCGGCGGCGGTCGGAGGAGTGGGGCCGGCGGTGGCCGCGACAGCCTCAGGTCGGGGGAGTCATGGAGCTAATTCGCTGACCCGCCGGCCGCAGCCGTGCGTCCCGCTCGATCGCCTGCACCCCCACCCCCGGCCCGGTTCCCCCTCTTCTCCCTCCTCAGCCGGTCCCGTCCGCGTCCCGCGCGCCCAGCCGCCGCGCGCTGAGGAAAATGGGGTGGTAACGGGCCCCCGGATGACCCCGCGCCACCACTGTGAGGCCTACAGCTCCGCCGGGGAGGAGGAGGAGGAGGAGGAAGAGGAGGAGGAGGAGGAGGAGAAGGTGAGGGACTCGCTGCGTCTCCGCGCCCCGCGCTCGCGCTCCCGCTTGTCGCCCCCCTGCCTGGCGCTGCCCGGAGGAGCCCCCCCGAGGCGCGCGCTCCTTGCCGCGGCCCGGCCCGCGCCTCCGCCTCAGAGGAAACCTCCGGGACCTCCCCCCACTCCGGCCTCTCCTGCCGGAACGCTTGGGCACCTGCCGGGTTCCAGACGGTCTGCCGGGTACCCTTTTGGGCCAGTTTTTCCGTCAGCGACTAACTTGTTTGCAGCCCCATCAAATTGCCTCCTCGTGCACATTCTAGGCGCCGCCAGCCCGTGTGACACCCGACGGAGGGGACACACCCCCACCCTTCGACTTCACGCTTCCGCGGGGGCCCAAGGGAGATAATTTGCACTGCAAGGCGGAGTGACTGCCGGACGCGGCGTCGAACGGCCGGTGCCGGCGCTGCGGGGGCTTGGGGGAGGGGGACGCTACCCCGGGGGTGGGGGAGTTTGGGGAGGAGGTGGGATTTGAGTCGCACCCTGAAGGCATGTAGAAAAGTCCCGGAGTTTTGAAAGCTGGGCGGAAAGGTCCTCTCCTGAGCTAGAGGCCCCATTGCAGGTCCCTGGGCAGGAGTGGAGAACGGGGTAGCGGCGTAGTGGACTCACAATTGAAAGATTGGCAGGAGAAATGTGAAACTACCACAAAGTCAGAAGCGTTGCAATGTGCCAACCAGGAGATGCGTTCCTGGGGAGGCAGAGTGGAAGCGGACTGAAGATCTTTGAATGCCAGGCTGCGGTATTTAGCTTTTATTTCTGTCCGTGGGAGCGCCTCAGCCGTGGAGCAGCGTGTGCTGTTAATGACACTTGTTGCAGGTTTTTATCGGACAGACCTTGCAACTCGCTGAGTGTAGTTCAGGGGTCTCGTTTCCCAGAAGAGGAAGACGGAGGGTCCGCGACATGAAGTAATTTACCCCATGGGTGACTCAGCCAGAGGCCAGTGGCCAGAATTCAAACCGGAGCTGTCTGCTAGATAATCTCTGTCCCAAAAATGAATTTGTTTAAGACATTAAAGGTGGTATTATTCGCTCCCAGCTCTATGAAATAGAAGGGAGTGGACAGAAAGATTAGGAACGAATGAACAGGTGAGTGATTCTGAACTTCTAGGATGAAATTCTTAATACTGAGGAGGAGCAGACTCGTCAGAATCAGCGGGTGTGGGGGGGAAGGCTTGGTAGGGATGATTTGCAGTCACAGATCACAGTTTGTGAATCGCCGTGGCTGCTAGTAGGTTAGAATGGAACTCTGCAATGTCAAAATCGGAAGCTGAGCGTATGTTTTATTCTGGTTCTATGATACTTTAAAAATGAAGATACGGACCTGTGCATGTTTATTTAAAATGGGCTTGATAATGACTTTATAAGGTTATATAAGGATTAAATGAGCTAATATGGCATAGTACTTTGAACAATATCTGGCCAAGTAGTAAGCACTCATTGCTTTGACTTCCTAAGAACTTCAGTGTAAGCTATTTGTTAGACATAGTGCTAAACACTGGAGAGTGTTGCCATCAAAGAACTCATGGTTAGTAGGAGAGACAGATCCACAAATAATTATCACAGAGCAATTAAATGCAAAAGTAGAATTATGTCCAAGTACAGATGTAAGAAGGCAGGATACTAGTCACAGACCTACACAAATGATAGCTGTGTAAGAAGGGGAGTGCCAGCTGGAGAAGGACAATTCAGGTTCAAAGAACTGTATGGAAAGGCATGGAGCTAGTGAAACAAACAGCAGGTCGTTTTGGAATTACAGGCATTCACAGTTCATTATTAGGTTAGGGGCGTGAAGTCAAGAGATGGTCACATTCATAAATCCCTCTTTTAGAATAGGAACAAAGACCCAGTAGTCCACATCAGTAGAAAATTATTAATGCACTTGGTGTTATGGTGATAATATAATTCTGTATTAATAAACTTGTTTCTGTTTACCTAGCACTGTGCAGTACTTTTCCTTAGAATAGTAGGAGGCCCTGTATGTAGATTTATAATATAGTTTATGCTGTACAATAACCATTTTATAAACTATTCACTCATTAAGTTATTTGATAAACACGGAGAAAGAAGCATTGAAGTAGTCATTGAAAGATTGAAAGATTGGCAGGGGAAATGTGAAACTATCATAAAGTTAGAAGTGTGTGGAATATGCCAACCAAATAAACTTTTTGATTCTTAGTTCCTAGAGACTTCTATCTAAGCATTCAAAGTTCTGGATATGACTAATGGCACAAAATAATAAGATACAAGTATAAAGTTCTAGTATTTAAAACAGTGAAATTATACTTTATATTTTATTCAACAGATTTCATTTTATGTAAATACTTTACATGTAGAAAAAAAGGATTGTGTGTTATTAAGTAAAACACAAGTAATGCTTTCTTTACTGTATCATTATCTGTCTTACTAGTATCTTTTTTTTAAAAGATTTTATTTATTAATAAATATGAGAGAGAGCATGGGGGGAGGCACAGAGGGAGGAGACTCCTAACTGAGCAGGGAGCCCAGTGATGCTTAGATGCAGTACCATGACCCAGGGGGAAGACAGACGCTCAACCAACTGAACTACCCAGGCCCCTCTGTCTTACTAGAATCTTAAAAAAGGAGTATAAAAGGTATCCTGGTAATATGAGCACTTCCATAATTTATGTCTGGGGTGGGGGTTTATTTACTCTTGTAAATAAAAAGAAACTCGTTAACATTTCACCCCATTTGTTTTATCATTTGTTCTCTCTTTCATATATATTTATGTATTTATATATATATATATATATTTATACATTGCATATATTATGGCCCTTTGCTCCTCTAAATATTTTAGTATGTATTTCCTAAGAATAGGGATGTTCTCTTACAGAATCAGAGTAAAGTTATCAACTTCAGTAAATTTAACTTTGAAACATTTACTTTGTCCATGTTCCCATTATGTCATTATAGCATTTTATCTTCCCAGTATAGGATTGAGTCTAGGGTTAGATACTGAACTTTCATTTTTCTGTACCCTAATTTGATCTGGAATATTTCCTCCATTCTTTTTTCTTTCCCTTGGATTATTTATATCTTACTTTTGAAAGATAAAGGAAATCTGAACTTTTTATCGTTTGTTAACATTCCCCTGCTATGAGCAAAGAATGATTCTTTTTATTTTCTAAAATTCATATGGTTTATTACATTAATTGATTTCCTGAATATTAAACCAGTTTTGCATTCCTGGGCTAAATCCCACTCAATTATGGTATATAATCCTTTTTTTTTTTTTTTTTTAAGTTACCAGATTCAGTTTGCTGGCATTTTTTTTTTTTTTTTTTTTTTTTTTTTTGCTGGCATATTTTGTTGAGGAATTCTGCATTTGTATTTAGAAGAGATGTTCTCAATGGCTGTTGTCTTTGCTTAACTGGCCTCATAAAATGAATTGAGACGTGCTCCTCTTCTACTTTTTTGGGGAAGTTTGTGAAAAATTAAAATTTTCTATGGATGTTTGGTAGAATTCAAATCCCTTGGGCTTTGGCTTTTCTTTGACAATTGTTTACTAATTCAATTTCTTGTTATATGAGCTTCAGCTTTTCTATTTCTTTTTAAAGTCGGTTTTGATAATTTGTGGTTCTGGGTATTTGTCCATTTCATGCAAAATTGTCCAATTTATTTGCAAACAGTTCAAAAAATTCTTTTACAACACTTTTATCTCTATAACATAAGTAGTAATGTCTCCTTTTATTCCTGATTTTAGTGCTTCATCCTTTCTGTTTTTTCTTGATCAGTTATAGCTAAAGGTTTGCCAATTTCGTTGATCTTTTCAAAGAACCAACTTTTGGTTTCATTGATTTTTCTCTATTTTTTTTATTCATTAATTTCCACTCCAATATCTGTTTCTTCTGGTTTGCTTTATAGTTTGCTCTACTAGCATCTTGTAAATTTTGGTATGTTTTCTTTTCATTACCTCAAAGTATTTTCTAATTTACCATGTGATTTCTTCTTTGACCCAGATTCCTTTGTTTAAAAAAAAAAATTCTTAAAGTATCTAAATATTTGAAAATCTTACTAAGGGTCTTATCTTCAGGGGATTGGAGAACAGGAATCTCTTAAACCTTATTCTTCTTTTTTCATGTATTCCTCTGTGTATCTCTCTGTGTTCCCCATCCATCCGTTCTAAAAATAATCTTCAGGGGAAACATTTTGAGGGAAGAGTAATCACCCAGGTATCCAGCCACCCACCCATTGGGGTATGTTGAGAAGGCTGGGGGAGCCTGAGGAGCCCAACCTGTTGGATGTAGCTAATGGAATGAAATAGTACGGTAAGTTTCAACTAGTTAATAAATTACAGACTAAAATTAGATATAGAAGAAACCTTAGAACCATTAAATCGAGTTTAATCTTCATCTAATATAGGTGTTCTAAGTATCTCTTGACAGGTGGTCATCTAGTTTACACTCCGTTTCTTTTTTTTTTCTTTTTAATTTTTTTACATTTTTAATTTAATGCACTCCATTTCTAAGGTTAATATTTGTATCTGGTTTAGACGAAGCTATATTGAGTTTATCTAGTTATGGAAGATCTGAAAAAAGTACCAAGGCCACAAAAGTGGAATTCAGAACATCTCAGCAGAATGTCACAGTAGATGGAATCTAACAAGATGACCCCCCTTTTTTTTTTTTAAAGAATACATTTACAGTCCTGAACAAGGTTGTCTTCTTTTCACTGCAGAAAAGAGGGCACCAAAACTCCGTGCACAGTTGGGGTGGGGCAGGTGGAGAGGGAGTACTGCATTTAGAAGAGCAAAAGTCACGTCATGTCAGAAAATCTTTTTTTTTTTTTTTTTTTTAAGATTTTATTTATTCATGAGAGACAGAGAGAGGCCAGGGACAGGCAGAGAGAGAAGCAGACTCCATGCAGGGAGTCCCAATGATGTGGGACTCAATCCTGGACCCCAGGATCACGCCCTGGGCCGAAGGCAGGCACTTAACCGTTAAGCCACCCAGGTGTCCCAATGCCAGGAAATCTTGAACAGTCCTTGAAGCTGTGAAAAAGATGAATGGGTGGGCATGCTAACCACCTTCAGATATTTCAAGAATTTAGACTTGGGTTTGTTTTGTTTTTGGCTACAAAGATTGAAACCAATCTTTGGTTGAGTCCCTGTTTCATCAAGATTCTATGAGTGATAAAAAGATAATACTGGTAGATATATTTTCCTAATGTTTATCATTTCATACGGGAAATAGTGGGAAGCTCCTTTCAGAAGGGAGAGAAATCATACCAATTTAGAGAATCAAGAGTTCTTAGAAGTTAATCTTTGAAAAATTTTTTTTGGGGGGTTAGGTATTATTTCTTTTCCCTCTCTGTTATTTACTTTTTCTTGGTATGAAAAGTACTTAATTCTCACTATAGGAAATTTGCAAAAACTCAATTGTTTAAAGAAGCAAAATGAAAAAAATACAATCCAGTTAACCAGAGGTAGTCTGCAGTATGTTGAATAGCAAGCAAGTAGGCCAAGTATGTGAAGTGATGAATAAGAAAGGGATAGTACCTGGAGTTGGGGTGGGGGGGTGAGGGTACCATGAAAATTGAAGTTTTTTTAAAAAAAATTATTTTAATTTTTAAAAAGATTTTATTTATTCTTAAGAGACACAGGCAGAGGGAGAAGAAGGCTCCCTGCAGGGAGCCCAATGTGGGATTCCATCCTGGAACCCCAGGATCACACCCAGAGCCAAAGGCAGACACTTAACCACTGAACCACCCAGATGTCCTTGTTACTTTTTTTTTTTTAATTAATTGTAAATTTAACTTAAAAAATCAGAGCTTTTCATTTGGAAAATGTAGTTAAATGAGGTGTCTATAATGAAAAACAGCATTCTGCAGCTTGACTTTCTAACCCTTTTCTCACAGGTTAGCCTCTGAGTGCTTATCTGTTTATCTTGTTTAAGATCATATTTTCAAATAATTTGCCCTACTGTTTTTTGATATTTCAATTTTAGGTATTATTTATGGTTTGCCAGCTGTGACATGTAAGGATGTGATGCTCATTCTACACCTCTTATCATCTGACACCTCTCATCTTCCCAGTGCGGGTTTTTTTTTGTTTGTTTGTTAAAGCCCTTATTCAGTATTTTCATTATCACTGGTATGTAAATGTCATGGTATATTATTACATTTGCCTTCTTGCATAATCTTTTTTTCTGAAGTTAATGACATTTTCAGTTCCTTACCTTTCATCACCTCTAGTTGAGTCTTGCTGTATCTTCAGCTTCTCGATCCAATTTTCTACACATGGTTGTACCTCTCAAATCTCTAGTTTTTCTTCTTCTTTTTTTTTTTTTTAGTTTTTCATAGGTTGTTCTTTTTTTTTTTTTTTTAGTTTTTCATAGGTTCTTTTCTTCTTCTTCTTCTTTCTTCTTCTTCTTTCTTCTTCTTCTTCTTTCTTCTTCTTTCTTCTTTCTTCTTTTTTTTAACTTGAGGACATCTCTCCTGGACTTCAGTTGTACCACAACGATCTAGATAGACTTGCCCTTTAGACTTGTTCATTTTAGAGGGCCCTTCACCTTATTGTTGAGTTTTCTAGATCAACACTCTCCAGTAGAACTTTCTGCAGTGATAGTGAAGAAAAGGAACGTTTATATCTGATGCAGTGTCTACTAACCACACATGGCTATTGAGCATTTGAAATGGGGCTGGTGTGACTGAGGAATTGTATTTTAACTTTATTCAGTTCTAATATAGCCATATGTGTAGCTAGTGGATGCTGTATTGAAAACACAAAGAAAGATGGTTTTATACTGATTATATGGGAATGGGTGGGTTTAATGTAATGTAATGGATGTAAATTTTTTTAAATGAAGGAAAAGGTTAGTATCTTATCTGATTAGGTTTTTAAGAGGAATATTTGGGACAACTACTAAGAATTGATAGTATAAAAAGCCCACAATTTAAAATTTGTTGACACAGTGTGAGACTTAATAATGTATTTTCATCAGAGTCTATAAGTTCTATCAATTATATGCTTCGTGTTTTTATTCTCTTTACAACTGAGTTTCAAATTTAAAGCAAATATATTTAGGTAACTGATTATTATTGTAACATTTTAATATATGATGTTTTAAAGAGCTGTAAAATCCTATACTGCCTCATAACATTCTTACTTTGTTTTATGACTTGCTTAATAAGAACCAACATATTTATGCCATGCCACATGTATTTTATAATTAAAGAAAAAAGCATTTTTTTATGTTTGATTTTATAGGTAGCTACATCAGGCTGGGAGGCAGGCAGATCCAAAGGATATCATGAAGTTTCCAGGGCCTTTGGAAAACCAGAGATTGTCTTTCCTCTTGGAAAAGGCAATCTCTAGGGAAGCCCAGATGTGGAAGGTGAATGTGCCAAAAATGCCTACAAATCAGGTAATTTTTCTTATCACTCTAGATAGATGACTTCTTTTAGAAATAAGCGACCTGTCATATAGTGATATCTTGACACCGCATTGGAGAAATATATACCATTAAAGGATTGGTTCTATTCTTTATTTGAGAAGCTTCTCCTTGTTTCATTCTGAAACAAACAAGAATGAATTTTTTGGGTTTGTTTGCTTATTTTGTTATCTGAGTTACAGCTTTAGGAGATAAATATGTTCTCTTTTTTTGTAGTCCAGTACTAATGGTAGTAAACTTTCTTTTTTTTAGATATATAGTTAGCTATGGAAGTTGAAATTATCTTTAGTAAACAAAAAATTGTTCTGTCTGTCTTGCATATTTATAACTAGTTCAAGTAAGCTACTAAGGTAATGCCAGTGTTGGACAATTCTAGGGAGATAGCCGGCTTACCTCTCAATTATTGTTAACTCTATGAACTTTTAGAAATTTTTATGCTTCTGTCATATAATCCTATCAGTGTTACTTTTGACAAATAACAAGTTTATGCACTCTCAAAGCTTATTGTATAAACTCTTTTTAATCCCTAGTACCTAGCACTGTATTTGGGATAAAGAATAGTGGTCAAGAAAATTTTGACTTTTGATTTATAGGTAAATGAATAGCAAATATCTCAATTCCTTCTTTGGTTTAGGTTAACCTTTTTTCATAGGTTATTGAAATCTATGCATTTTCTACTAACCTATTCTGTCATTCTTTCTCATAAGCTGATGAAATATGTTTTGCATTTACTGTTACTTACTTGTCATTTAGCAGATTGAAAATTAGTTAACCTGAGTGAATATCTGTTAAGTTAGGAGCATTTACATATGCTATCACATTTACTATCTTATTATATCCTTTGAAATAGGTAGTAGTCCCACTTTGCTCAAGACTTTAGTAGAGGTATAATTTGAACCTGGGGTAGTTGTCTTTCCATTATACTTTGTTTTTCAGTTTTTATTTTTCTATGCTTGTGTGATTTTTTAGATTACTTGGAAATTCAATCATTTAGTAAATGTTCATTAAGTATCTGCTATCTTCTGAGCACATCTAAGCATTGGGGATATATATACCAGTGAGAAAAATAGAAATTCCTACCCTTATGTTCTGATATTCTGGTAAGCCTCAAAGCTTTAAGACAGAGCTGGCTTTAAAGAACCATTTCTTTCTTTCTTCTTCTTGAGTCAGCATGTAACCAATGATAATACTCTTTTACAACATGGTCTTTGAAGGTGATACTCTACCAAGATTATAGTACATTGCTATATTATCACTTAATCTGGCCTATTTCTGTTGGTGATTTAACAAATATTACTGAGTTAATACCAGAGAATAGAACAGTATTACAGTTTCCAAGAAGGAACTCCTTAAGGGTTTGCCTTTAGTAATGTCAAGTAGAAGCCAAAGTTAATTCTGAAAAATGTGGGTGGGTTTGTTCTGATGGGGATAAGATTGGGATGAGAGTAAAAAGCTGTAGGAGGTCAAACCGCTTGCTACAATAAACCCCAAGGACACTTGTCTATTACTTTCCTATTTTAGTTCTAATTTCTTTATTTTCTTTTGCCACTTTCAGAGACTGGCTTTTCTATTTCTCTTTCCACTATTGCTTCTAACCATGATTTCCCTCCTCGATTGCTTGCAGAAAAAAAAACAGTCTTGTCCTTAAGCCATATACATACTTATCTAGCTTTCCGAATATTTTTTTAAGGGCTTGTAAAAATGGAAAGTAAAATGTTTTAAAGCTTTCTGTTAGGCTTCTTTCCTTCAGTTTCCTTATCTTTTTTTCTCTACCTAAGCTCTTCCTTTGGATCATTCTCTCCCAATTCTCTTTTAATTTGTATCCCCCCGTCTTCAGGTTTAGGACAGAGAGGTCACACAAGAATATTGCATACTTATCGCTCCCTTTCTGGGTGCTCCCACAGTGCACTCTACTTCCTTTATGATAACACACAGTATTATAATTTCCTGATGACTTGATGGTGAGTTCCCTTGGATTGGGTTGTATCATTTTTGTTTACTGGCATATAATAAACTTCCAGTAAACATCTGTTAAATGAACGTTACCATTTCTTTATAATTAGTCCAGGTTAGATAAGTTTTTTGATATAGTAGTGCTTTCAAGTACACAGTGATTTTTATTATATGGATTTGGGAGAAAAAATTGAAGGCTTGTCAAAGTGACATACACTTTGAAGGTATTCTATGTTTGGGATGCCTGGGTGACTCAGCGGTGGAGCTCTGCCTTCCGCTCAGGGCATGGTCCTGGAGTCTCCAGATCTAGTCCCACATGGGGCTGCCTTGAGGAGCCTGCTTCTCCCTCTGCCTATATCTCTGCCTCTCTCTGTGTCTCTCATGAATAAATAAATAAAATCTTTTAGAAAAGAAAAAGATACCCTATGTTTTGCCTAAGGTGCTTTTGATTTGCAAAAGTAAAACTCTGTTTCAAGCTATTAAGATGGTTTTCATTAGAAAGAAACCATCAGATGGTTTCATTAGAACTCTAAGGAATCTTGAGGGCCAATTATGTGGTTTCGGAATACAGGATCTCAAGCCTCTGGGCTACTGAGGGCATCAGAATCACTCAGGAGCCTTCTTACAGAGATTCCACGCCTAATCCAGACCCGTTAGGTTATGGCACTTGTGGAAATTTGTATTTTAAAAAGTTGCGGGGCAACCCAAGTGGCTCAGCGGTTTAGCGCTGCCTTCAGCTCAGGGCGTTGTCCTGGAGACCTGGGATCAAGTCCCATGTTGGGCTCCCTGCATGGAGCCTGCTTCTCCCACTGCCTGTGTCTCTCATGAATAAATAAATAAAATCTCAAAGAAATAAAAAAAAGCTGCACTTTTTATTAATATGCATTAATTTTGGAAGACACCGATTTACTCTAACCACACAGTAGAAGAGTTCTTCTAACATCTCTCTCTGATGAGCGATTCTCTACTTTGGTTACTTTGTCCATTCTACTGTAGGAAAACTATAAATTATGGAAAGATTTTCCTAAATTTAACCGGAAAACTGCTTCTTTCTAGTGGCCACATATTCTAGTTTTGTCCACTGGTGCAATACAGAATAAATCTTTAAATGGTAGCCCTTTACCTACTCAAAGATGTGTTAAGCCCACAAAGCCCTCTCTTTTCCGATTGAACATCCCTTGTTTTTTAACCATTGACAAGATTTCTCTTTTACTGCCCTAGATTTTTTTTTTCTTAGATACACTCTTTTTAGCATTTAAGTTGTGACATTTCATTTGTAGTCATTAATGAGCAATGAAGTGAAACTATTACCTCGCTTTATCTTGGCTTGATAATTTTGTTGAACTAGCTAGCCCCAAATTTTATTATTGTTTTGGCAGCAGTGTCATGTTGGCTTACTGAACTTGTTTTTAAAACCTTGTTGCCTCAAGTTTTAAGCAAAGTTTCCTTTGTGCTATATGTACTTTTTAGGTTTTGACCTGGGTATGGTGTTATTATTAAATTTAAAATTGTTGATTCTGACCCATTTTTCTAGCTTTAAAATTATTGTTATCTAATATGTTGACTTCTGTCATTTTTGTATACTGTGGATTTGGTAAATAAATAAATCTATTTACCCTGCAGGATGGTTTCTCTTTTTTATTTTCTTAAACAGATTCTTGAGGTGTAATGTCCAGAAAAGTACATAGATTGTAAGTGTACAACTGTAAAATATACCACTATATTTGCAGAAGGCTCTTTCTGTCCTCTTGCAGTTACTACCATCTACTCCCCCACACCAAAAAAACACTGTCCTAATATCACAGATTAATTTTTCCTGGTTTTGAATTTCACACACATGTATATTGAATCATAGAGTATATACTGCCCTCTTATTTAATATTTTTTCTGTAAGATTCATCTATGTTACTTCGTGTAGCCATAATTAATTTATTCTCATTGCCATGTATAATTCTTTGAATTTATCGCTTCTATTGATGGTCATTTGCGACATCTTCTTGTGCATGTCTCAGTGGGAAAGTCCTCTTCTTGTGTATGCACATTATGTGCATTTTGTGTGTGTGGGGGGGTATATTTCTAGGGATGGAATTGCTAGAACCTAGAATATGTGTATATCAGTTTTAGTGCATAACCACCAATTGTTCCAGAGTTATTATACCACTATTATCCCATGGGTTTTTTAATTTTTTTTTTTTTACCCCTTCTAGCAGAGTATGAAAGTCTCAAGTTGCTCTACATCCTTCTCAACCTTGGTATTGTCTTTTCATTGTAGTTATTCTGGAAAGTGTATTATAGTATCACATTGGGTTTAATTTGCTTTTCTTGAATAACTAAGGAAGTTCAGCTTTTCATATGTTTATTGGCCATTAGATTTACTCTTTTGGTACTCTTTTGGTCTAGTCACATCTTCCATCTGGGTTTATACTGAGTTGTCTCTATTTTTGTTAATTGTTTTATAGGAGTTCTTTTGTTTGCAGACTGTGCATTACACATATCTTCAACTGTGTTGACTTTGATGAATAGAAAGAAGTTCTTTATTTTTAATGACCAAATTATCAATTTTTTTTTCTTTTTTAAAGAAGTATTTGTCTAATCAATGTAGTGAAGATACTCCCTTGTGTTTTCTTCTGCAAAATTGATCATTTCATCCTTTGCATGCATTTAGATTTATATTCCAGTTGAGATTTTTTTTGGGGGGTCGGCTATGGTGTGAAGTAGAAATCCATCATTTTTCTTCATACAGAGAACCAACACCATTTATTAAAAAGACACTTTTCCCCCACTTCCCTGAAGTGTACTTCTGTAATAAATCAAGTGACTACTGTAAACCTGTGAGTATATTTGTGTGTCTGTTTCTTGCCTCTTGTCATTGGACCATTTGCCACTCTTTAACCATACCGCCTTAATTATTATAGCATTATCATAAGTGTTTAGGCATAAATTTTGTTCTCTTTTTCAGGATTGTCTTGGTTATTCTTAGCCCCTTGCTCTTCCATATATGTTTTACAATATACTTGTCA